TAAAATTATTTTATATTAGTAGTTATTATAAATCTTATAATACGTTTACTCATTTACTCCTTACTTAAATAATGCTCGAGGTAAGTTGCTATGTAGAAATAAAAATTTACATCAGCACTCAACAAGCAGACTGCTTAGAATTTATAGTTAAAAAATTTTTCGAGCAGATAACTCAAAATTTATATATTTGAACATTCTAACTTGTTGTAAATACTTTTCGTTACACAACAATTCCCCCTTTTATACTTTCATATATTTGGTTTAAGAATATCTTAATTTTATTTTCTAATTTTGCAGAATGGAAGAAGTAATGATAGTTCCAGACAAAGTAGTGTTTTACCAGATTTGCTTAGTCAGGCGAGTGGAAGTCCTGGTACTCCATCTGCGCGAGACAAATCATCAAGCGAAGAGGTATATTTTCTTACATTTTTAACTATGATCGTTTTCGTAATCATATTTATTAGTTCTCTTTTGTTCCACGAATGCAGTAATGCAAGTGATATCTTTAACAAACTTTATTGTTAAAGTTGCTTAAAAATGTTTGAAAACTTAGTTGTGATTAGGACTTCTATTTAAATAATTAAATGTTTTTACTTACGTACATGTAAAAACACAACGACAACGTATATTTTCAAGAATACTTATTGAATTGGTATAAGTTAAAGCATTTATTTTTTGTGTTATGTATGTTGCAGACAAATGATCATTTCAGTCAAATAATATTTATCTAGGCAAATACCTTTTAACAAGGCGAATTGTTTCAACCATTATTTCAAGGTATTGGTTTAGGCAAGTGTCATTTCACTGTACAAATGCCAATTACCTAGTAATGTCTTAAGATTATTTCTTTAACTGTTGTAATTGCATAGGATATTTGCACTTGGATAGAGACCAGACAGTAAGACATTTGCACTCGAATAGTGCATATATATTACTATTAATTTGCTTACTTGACTAGTTTATAAACTAGCTGGTTAGTGGATAGTATACAAACTGTCGAAATGTCTATTGACATATACGCTTCTATTTGTAAAATAGGAGAAGACAACAGTCACTTGCTATGTATTTCCTTTTATGAATATCATAATTGCATAATTGACCTTCTCGAGTATAATTGTACATCGCCGTCACTGTTTGGCCTGAAAAATGTTAAACAAATATCATTTGTCTAGTAAAATACATAGTATCTGCCTAGACGAATAAATTGAAATGGTTTATTTGGTCTAAAGTTATTTGCCTACGCATATGTTATTTGATTGAAATAACCATATGTCTACAACATATACATAATATACACATTATGTTTAAATGTCGGAAATATTAGAATTTCTTCAGTTTATTTTTGCAATCATATTCTTATAGTTCTTTGTTAGCACTTCGTTAATCTGGGAGCAACAAATTACAGTTTACCTTGATTTTAAGTTCATTAATTAGTCAGTCAATGTTGTAGTAGCTGAAAATTATTTTATTCGATTCACTATATTCTGATAAAAAAAGGTACTGTTTATTTCTTTTATTCGATTGTTACGTTTATTTAAGGGAGATGAAAGAAATGAAAAAATAGAAAACAGATAAGTCAAAATTAAAAAAAAAGGGCTGAGACATAAAACAAAATGAAATCAGTTCTATATTCGCTAACGGTTTAAATTATTAAAAGTTGTGTATAGCACGGCTTTGTACAGGTGCGAAACGTAGACGGTAGACGCGCCGGAAAAAAGGTAGAAACGTTTGAAATGTGTTATAGAACGATACACCATATTGTGACGATTGACTGAAGATTGGAAAGAATGAGTCAAACAGTCTTAGAAATAAACTATTGTTTATTGAATAGTATAAGTCAAAATTATGGAATAAAATTTAGAAAAAGGACGTGAAACATACAACAATAACTTAATTTTTTTATGTACTGGAAAGATTTTAAGGTAAAATGAGTTGCATAAAAATCAGAGACACTTTATTGTAATTTGTATCAATATATGTATACATATATTGATACAAATTACCAATGCCTCCCCCGCCATCGGTGCATAACACCAAGTACATTTCAGGGAACCTGCATCCTAACGTATTTAACCTTATTCATTAGTGTATAGCACTTATCCCTGGAACATAGCATTATACCCTTGGTGCTTAGTAGTGCAACAAATAGTTTTTATGATAAAATTGATAATTTCATCTCAAAATGTAATAAAAATATCTAAAGAACTTTTTCTTCCAACTGTAATCTAATCAATAATTTATTCTCTTTTTCTATAATTTACAATTATCTGTTAATAATAATAATAACTAAACGACCACTTAACAAATAAAATGTGCATATAATTAAGTAATTATNGATTATAGACGACTTTTAGAGGGTAAACCGCTTGCTTAATAAGCGTACATAAAAAGTTTGAATATTTCATTTAGGTGTATGTTATCATTACATTATTATAATAGATAAATTTGTTTAAAAAATTTGGAAAGCTTTTTCTTTATTGATGCTTAAAGTCATATTTTTGGGACAAACAATATACTTTAAGAGTTCGTCTGCTAATAGTAAATTAAAAATAAGCAAATTATCCAGCGGGGCGATCTTGAAAAAGTATCTTGACGGTTGATAATTTTTTAATAACAATTAATTATAAACCCATTCAGAAAGAAAGGCACATTTGTAAAGTACAAAATTATTTATTTTTATTTTCCATACAAAACATGAATCATGGACTGATCATAAAAACAAATCCAGATTACGTTAATTTTATATTATTTCCGTTTATGTAATTATATTTCTAAGAATGTTATTAGGAAGTAATGACAATTGGCTTCTTTTTTTTTTTTTTTAAATAACAATTAAGATATTTTACATAGCTAAGTTTTCTATTTTTATCATACCATTTCAGTCCATTCAATTTTGTTGGTTTAACAGTTTTGCACAAAATTTATTGTTTTAAAGAAATGTAACTAATGTATTGTGTCTTTCTCTTTGGTTTTGCCTAACTGAGTGGCGTCCGTAACTTCATAACTTAAATGTAAGTATGACCATATGTTTGCTGCTCGTTTCTTTTATATTAGTGTAGCTTTGAAATCTGTTGGAGCACCTGAGATGTTTTGCTTTATGTGCATAGTTTTCCCCATTTCCTTTGTCAGCAATATTTTTCATTGACTTTATTTGGAATAGTATCATAATTTAAACGTAATAAATAACTAAAAATACATTGTAGGTCGAATTTTTAAGTACGCAGGACAGATTAGAGTAATTACGTATAATGTCAATAAGACTATTTTTTGGTCTCCGGCGTAATAAATTTTTTATGCTGGTTTTTATCACTTCATAATATGATATTTATGATTCTGTAGTTTATATTCGATTAGTAATGGTACAAATGTGCTGTTTAGTCGTTACAGAGTTTATTAACTATTATTATTCCCCGATTCAAAACTTTCGGTTGACACGCTTCTTCTCTTATACGATGCTACCGATATAGTTCATTTTAGAATCGGACGGACATACCACGGAGGATTTTTTTTATGTGATTTCTCAAGAAAGGTCAACCACAAATTTTCGAATTTGGTGCTAAAATGACTATCTTGTGACTGTTTACAGTCCAAAAATAAAAATAAAATCACAACTCGAAGATACTATCGAGGAATAATCTGCAAAAACTATTTGATATTATTTTTATTTAGAGTTCGCGGTGTTAGCTAAGCGAGTGACGGTAGAACAATTCGTTACGTCTTATATTACACCATGCTTCGCCCCATTTCATCTTGCAGCATACTGCTAAGATTACCTAGTTTAGCAGTTTGGGTATTTTTTTTAAGATATATGACTATTTTTCATTATGAAGAGTAACGATAAGTAAGGTGGTTTTTTGCATAATACGATAATTACCTATTAATAGACTAATCGTAAAACTATCATATGTATCAAAATCAAGTTGGTTATCGTATTGCGCTGTTTGACAAAAAATAGTCTTAAAAATGTTAAATTTGCTACTAAACCGCAAAACGATTTAACTTTGCAAGCCTATAGATTTCAGAACACCTTTTTAATTATGGAATCGTAGAGATCATAATATCATGGATTTGATAAAAACCAGCAAAAACACCGTCAAAACCCCTATAAAAAATTGACTTCAACGGTTATCAAAAGTTGGCTTTATTGACTTTTATTTTAATAATTTTGCTCATCATTATTTTGATTTGATCAATTTTTAGAAATTCAACCAGCGCCTGAAAGAAATATTAACAAAACATACAAATTTGCACTCTGTGTCGTATCAATTTTCATAAAACAGCTTTACTATCCCATTTTTCTTTATGTAACATATACCAACTCATAGTTTTTCATTATTCCATTATACTAATAAAAAAAGCATTTTTTTTTTCATAATATGCATGTGTTAGAAATATGCTATTTTTACAAAATAAAATTTACCTGTTAAATTCAGTTTCAACAAATCATATTGAAGAAATTTTAGTCGAAACAATTGTAAGAGAATTTCTTCAGTATAATTCATTGAAACTGAATTTAGAATTGAAATGTTCCATCACTAATTCTCCACAATTAGTTTGTTAAGTATGCTATTTTTTAAAGCAATTCGCTACATTTAATATGATGTGGAGGATAATATAATCACTAACACTAAAAATTATACAGTAGGTATATTTTATATCCAGAATGTTTTAATAAGTCAAAACTTTATTCTGTGTATTAATTGATTTTTAAACGTTAAATTCAGAGATAATTATTTATTGTCCTTACTCCATGCATTGCTCCAAAAGATTTTTTCCTATTGGGTTTTAGAAAAACTAACGGGAAAGACTACTAATTATTGTTTGGTTCATAAAATTGTTGTAACTAACAAAAATGTAGAAATAAAGGAATAGGAAATGCCTTGTTTAAATCTCTTCAAATTGGTATTGGTAGTTATTACAGCTGAGAACTAAAGAAATGTATAGCGTAATTTTGAATTATTGAAGATGATTTAAATGCAATGTATTTCTTTAAATTGCATGATTTTTTTCTGTTGGTAATATTAAAAGCTAAATTAGAATCAGTTAAAATATTATTTATCATGCCAAGTGTAGAAGTAAATATAATTTATTTTTACCTTTCTCAAAGTCATTTGGCCCTCTGCCTAAAAACGTTGTATGTTTATTTATATCATTTTTTCTGTAAAAACTCATGTGAATAACTTAAAGAAGTGCAAATTTTAGAAGGAAATATATTTGACGTTCTGTTAATGTTGTAGTGTATGTAACAATTAACATGTAGTATATAGTACATAATTATTAAGCGTATGATTTTGATTCGCTATTTCATAACTTGTTGGTACTTTGTTTTCAGTATCGACAAGCCATGTCTTCCTCGCAAATATCAACTCCCTCACCCAATAAACTATCCACTCCTATTAATGCACACGCACTTGCATTGCAACAGAAACAGCGGTCGTTTCTCACGTTTGGTTTTGGAGCTGGCTCTGCTCAGTCAAGGAGGGAGTCGCATGTGAATGTCAACGTCACACCTACCTCACATGACGTATCATCGGACACGCCCGAAATCCGAAAGTACAAGAAGCGCTTTAATAGCGAAATACTATGTGCCGCTCTCTGGGGTAATTTCTTATATACAGCACTTTTTTTATGTATAAGAACTTTCAATAAGTTAAATTTTGGTAACGTAAAAATCTCTATTATTTAAAAAAAGTATTGTTTTTTCTCTCGGGTCTTCAAACCTTTAATTTGAAACCTCAGTAAGTTCCCTAAAATTAATATTATTATTAATCCAAGTATTCACAGGGTTATAAATAGTTTTTCACTAATTGTAAGTTCAATATGTCACTTTAAAATCTCCATTTCACGTTTTAACTTTTCCTCTGAAAGTTAGTGTGTCGTCGTTCTAATTCTACATTCAATTATAACGCAAAAAAGTATTTTTAGGTGTAATCAATGGTATCTTCAACTTTAAGTAGAACAATTCAGATCTGTTATGATTTAAAAAAAAAAGCTGCTGATGCATTATACGTAAATATTTCCTGTTTTAAAGATGTTTTAGTTTAAATAATTGTGTATAGCGAAGAAATTCTCTGAACTATTTTAAAAATGTCTTCAGTAATTTAAAAAAATATATCTGTAACCAATTATTCATTTGGAACAAATGGATATACTCGATTATTTCAAGTAATTTATATATAAGTGACATCTTCATTCATGTTTTAAATTAATGTAAATGACTTTCGAACATAACTGGTTGAATTTAAAATGTTCTAGTTAGGAAAGTTTGTACATCTTAAAGTGTTTTTATTTTATTACTCAGGTGTTAACCTGCTTATTGGAACTGAACATGGATTGATGCTATTAGACCGAAGTGGCCAAGGTAAGGTCTACCAACTTATATCAAGAAGAAGATTCCAACAAATGGAAGTTCTTGAGGGACAAAATATCCTCGTTACTATTTCTGGGAAAAAGAATCGTGTACGAGTTTACTACCTCAGCTGGTTGAAGAGCAAAATCTTGAGAACAGATGGTCTAAGCGATGCAAGTATTTATTTAGTTAAGAAATCTTAAAATAACTACTATATTAAAGGTACGAATAACCGTACTTGAGAATTCGGATAATTGAATGTACAGTGACAACTTCATTAACTTTTATTATATCTAAAATTATTTTTTCTGTTTATTTAGTTTTTCGATTATTCATGTGGTCTATATCAATTAATCCTGTTAAAGGGAGCTTCTTTTGTCCAGATAAAAGAAAGAAACAAAGGTCTATATGTTGAGAGTTTATTTAAAAAGAACAAAATAAGATTATACTGTTTAAAATCAACGTTTAGTAATGTAGATAATCTCGAGTCCATATAATAAAATTATTGTATATTTTACATGTATGCTTGCAATTATTGTTTATGATCAGATTTTCTAAACGCCCTAATTTTGTTTGTTTGTTTTACAGCAAGTGGAAAGAAGAAATGGTTGGATCAATGTAGGGGACCTGCAAGGGGCAGTTCACTTCAAAATAGTAAAATATGAAAGAATCAAGTTCCTCGTAATAGCCTTAAAAGACAGCATAGAAATTTACGCTTGGGCTCCGAAACCGTATCACAAGTTTATGGCGTTCAAGTCATTTCCGGAACTAACACATCGACCGTTGCTGGTCGATCTCACAGTTGAAGAGGGAACCAGACTGAAGGTTATTTACGGTAGTGCCGACGGATTTCATGCTGTAGACTTGGATTCTGCCAGTGTTTATGACATTTACATGTCTAAACATGTAAGTAAATTTTCCAAATAAAAGTCTAATTATAATTTCAATTAAACTTTTATTAATATAAAATAATCTTTTCAGACTCAAGGTGCAATAACTCCTCATTGTATAGTAACCTTACCCAATAGCAACGGTATGCAGTTACTATTGTGTTACGATAATGAAGGTGTATACGTAAATACATACGGAAGAGTCTCAAAAAATGTGATATTACAAGTAAGCATACAATGTAGAAATATATTTATTGCATTCATAATATTTTACTTTCCGTGGGAATTTATAATTAATTTTTCTTTGAAGTTAGTACTTTTACTCAAAAGTGGAATACATTTATTAATGAAATGTTAAATAATATGAAAGAATATTTCATATTTATATCTATCAGGTAGAATAATTAATACTACATTTTAGGGATAGTAATCAACAGTAGTATTATGTGTTATATGTATAATAATTAAAAGAAGTCGCATTCAATCAAAAAGTGTCAGAGAAATAGAACCACGAAATGAGACAAAACGTTGTACTATTACTTGATCGTTGCTTATTTGTTAGTCTAATCTGTGGTAGTCTCGCTTTTAATTAACTTCTTTCCTTGTATTTTAGTGGGGCGAAATGCCTACTTCCGTTGCATACATTGGAACTGGACAAATAATGGGTTGGGGCAACAAAGCCATTGAAATTCGCTCTGTCGAGTCCGGTCACCTGGATGGTGTTTTCATGCATAAAAAGGCTCAACGACTGAAGTTTTTATGCGAACGTAACGACAAGGTGTTCTTCTCTAGCGCAAAAAGCGGATCGTCTTGTCAAATTTACTTTATGACTCTCAATAAGCCTGGCATGGCCAACTGGTAACACTGAACTGCTTCGTTTTTCGTCACTCAATAACGTGTATAATAATATAGTTAACTTTCTATCAGTCGATTTTGGTCTTCAGTCACTTTAGTTTCGGTCTGTTGTTTCAGTTCTTCATAATAGGCATACGAACAGATATTTTGAAGTAAACACAAGTCAACGTAAGAGAGTACAATTAAAATTAGGTAAACATAAAAAATGATTTTTGGCATGTTATACTGTACGTATTACATACAAAACGTTTGATTTTAAAGTAGCAATAAGAAGACTAAAGTTGGGAGCAGAAACCATACAGGATTGCTTAATTTATGGCGTAGCCATAAGACAGTCACCAAGTTGTACCGAAATTGATGTGCAATCAGTCATCGCGCAGCGACTAAAGTTTTCTATCCTTTTTAATGATGCTATTCGGATCTATTCGCTTAGGTTTAAATTTTTGCTCCTAAGTCTAGTTTCCTTGAGTAGCAGTAATTTCGTTGCAAGTGATAAAGTGGGCTTTCGTTTTAGGGCGTGTTCCTTAAAACTGGATCATTTTTTTTTTACTTTTTACACAAAATGTTTCAAAAGTGAAAGGGCATTCTTGTTTATTATTGATTTTTTATCAATTATGCATAGTTAATCCATATAGCCAATACGAATTAAATGCTAATACTCGTAATTAAACTTGCTTTTCAATATTACGTTTTTGATAAATTTATGACGATTTTTTTTTGAAATGTTTTTTGTAAAAATAACTATTTATACTAACATTCTTTAGTCAAATAGGTAACAAATTCTTTTATCATTTTAGTGGTGCTATAAAACTTTAGGAACTCAGGGCGTAAAGGGTGTGATTATTCACAATAAACGAATGTTAGAGAATTAAATTTTATTAACAAAAGTCGAACCATTAGTTAATTTGGCTAATTCAATGAATTAAAAGTTTTAAATAATCATAATGGAGAAACAGTAAAAGATCTTATTTTAAGGAACATTAAATTCTGGTCAGATTACTTTGGCATTGCAACAGTGGCAAAAAAGCTAGCAAGTTTCGTATGTTTTTTGATTCAAAGATGTTGCAATTTCAGTTGTAATAATAGTACTATATACTTAACGTTTCGTTTATTATTTATAATAACGGATGATTTATATTATGTTTAGTGAAAAATGCATTTATTTTAATTATAAGGATTAATATATGAAATAGTTCAGTGCCAAGAGAGAGAGAGAGAGGGTGAGAAAGATGAAATAAGTATAAGAATAGCGGGAGAAAGAGAGAGAAAAGAAGGATATGAAGCAGCAGCTATGGTGTAGATCAAGTGAGAAATGCTCATAAATATGTAGATGTTAAGATTGCAGATGTATAGTGAATTTATAGGCAAAGAATTGTCAACAAAACTTGCTTTAATTAACCGAAAGAAGCAAATTTTGAAGATCGTTCAGTGTAAATATAGATATTTGTTAACTGTGTACAGGCTTATGAAGTACGTAAGCTTGTACTCTGTACTTTAGTCATATACATTGTAGTAGTCCCCTCCTATTCCCTTAACCTAATGATAATTGCATTGTTTTTTCGTATTTTGCACAGAAAAAAAAAACAATTTTATACTAACAACAATGGAGTAGAAAGAAGAAAAAATATATATAAAAAATAAATTTCCAAGTGTACGTTGAGAGATGAGTTGAATTTTTTGGTGCAATTAAGACTGTTTTATATACACATTAAATTTTATACTACGGTAGAATATGGTTCGTTTCTTATTTGAACTCCTTTTGTGTCACGGTAACTCTTCTTTATATTATGCATAAATATAATGCCTTAATGTGAATAGGTTGCTCTTTCTATTTATCTTTCCAAAGAGTTGGTATGTGTGATTTTTATAATATGAGTAACATTTATTATTGCTATATATCATTTTATTAATATAAAAGATACTTTAAAATGTGTTTTATTTTATAAAATATGAATTAGTCGTGAAGGGATATGTACAAACTATAAAGTAAATTGTAGCAAGTAGGAAATATCTGGTATCTTATTATTATCATTGAGCAGTCATCAGTCTAAAGACTGTTGGACATGCACCTACATTCCTTCCTATTCTGAGCTAATCTTGGCTTTCCCTTAAAACGGGACGTCGTAGATTCCTAACTATTTCTAAGCAGTGCTGTAAGCTTCCTCTACCATTCTTTACTCCCGTTTCTGCTTTAAGTATATTTTTTAGTAGCACTTCGTGTCTTATAAGGTGTCCTATCATCCTAACTTTTCAGTCTTTAGAGTAGTATGTAATTAAAAATATAGTATTCGTTCTTCCGACGTTTGCTTCGTTGCAGAGATATGTTTTGTTCGTGACGTCATACGTTGTTATGTATGGTAGTGATTGCAATAAAAAATCGTTAGGTGTTAGGTAAGTCACACATCAAAGAAACGCATGATATAAAATAGGAAACACGAAATATGAAGTACGAAAATAAAACATACTGTGATACATAAACCAAAGAATCAAATTAATAGTTTCAATGTCAGTTCAGTTTTTCATTAGCTATCAACGGTCATGAACGATATTTTGGTTGGCTGTGGTTATTGTTGTCACTAGACGATTACTATAAACAAAACTAGCAGTCATGAGCCGACAGAAATGAAAACTAAAAAGTATGAAGTAACATTGGTTTCATTTAATTTTCAAATTAATTGTAAATCAAAATTATTAACATTACTCTGGTTTTCACCGGCACTACGAGCAACAATTATACAGTTAACAAAGCAGGTATCTTATTTTTTTTAACAATAATTTCTTAAAATTAAATGTTGCAATAACAAAAAATATTTTCTGAAATGAAAATTAGAGCATTTTTTGCAATTTTTTTAACTAAAAATTTCAATATTATAAGATAAACCATAATTTTTCATTAGTAACTATATTTTCAAAATTCAACACTTAAATGTAAAATTATTATAAAT